GCCAGTCCACCCAGTTTTATCTAGTGAGATATAGGCAGTTGGCTTTGCTGAGAGGCTTTGCAAAAGATTTTTTAAACCTGATTGTCAGATTCTTTATAAGCCCTTGCCCCATTCTCTTCCTAGAATACAGACATGATGTCTGGAGATTCAGGAGCCTTGGCGGCAAAACATTCATTCTAAGAACGAAGGAGCAAGATGTAGAAGCCTTGATTGTTGCTGATGTACACATGCAGCTGAAGCATCTTAGAATTGTTTACCGTTGAATTTCTGGTTACCTGAAAAAAAAAAATAGACCTATACATTATTTGAGTTTTTTGTTACTTGCAGCCAAACACTTTTCTAACCACAGGGTTCAAGTCAGACTTTGTTAACAAAACTGGTCATATAGAAGCGTCTATTTTCAAAGAATATGTCTATGAAACCTCTCTGTAATATTTGGGAGAGTATGGGAAGACCTTGGGAGAGTGTCTGGAATAGAAGGAACCCTCGGGATCCGCACCGTCATTCTAAAACAAAAACTTGCCTCTAGCATTTAGCACTTAGCTGCTTTTCAGCTGCTGTCCCACGTGAAGTGGCCTCGGACTTAGTGCCTGGTGAACAGGCTTCTATCGCTGATCACACAAGCAGTTCACCTGTAAGTCCTAATGACCTCAGCTCCAAAGGCTCATCCCATTTAGAAGGAATTTTTTTGTTTGCAGTTTAAATGATATAAATACTCAGTGAACTGTAGACACCTCCTGCTGCTTCTGGTTTTCATCTTGAAAAAGCAAGAGACTGTGTCCCATATGGCAGAATTAGAAGCTCATTTGTGTGAAAGGAGAAGCTCGCTCTTCAAAGTTGCCTATTATTAACTGTCGTTTTATTATTGAACCCTGGGCTTTCCTCATGGCTTAGTGGTGAAGAATCCGCATGCCGTGCAGGAGCTGAGGGTTCGATTCCTGGGTCAGGAAGACTCCCTGGAGAAGGAAACGGCAACCCACTCGATTATTCTTGCTTAGGAAATCCCCTGGACAGAGAAGCCTGGTGGGCTACAGTCCGTGGGATTGCATAGAGCCAGACATGACTTAAACAACAACAAGGAACGCAGATGACTTTAAAGGGTTGCCCTCAGTGGATGGATGGCAGCACCCTAGGTCTTGGCCTTGTGAATAGGGTCAAGATGAAACCATCATAAGAAGCAAAATTCAACAGCCTGTATTAAAGAGAAAACAAAACAAAACAAAACAAAAAAATCGTGAATGATCACTGAGTCAGCTTCATAGACATTTTAACACTTGCTATTTGTGGCCAGGGTTATGGAAACTAGGTCTCTTAATTGTACTTGCCCATGATGAGGACAGATCTAAGTCTGCATAATCCTGGCTCTATGGCTGCTCCGTGTGAATCAATAACATGCTTGTGGGATAGGGTTTGCACTGGCAAGACATTTCTTAGCTGAACATCTGTTTCAGCCAAATAAGGAAATTTCTTATCTACAAAATGTAACCATGACCCTGAGAATCTCTTTATCAATTCTTTATCTTTCTACAGGCACAGACAGGAAAATTTTTTAAGAGAAAGATGAGAGAGATCCAGATGTTCTCTCCCTAGAATAGTGTCTTATAAAAATGTGTTTAGATTACTAGCAAATCACAGTGCAACCAAAGGTCTCTCAACTCATCACAAGAGCCAGACCTTCAAGATGATACTGGAAATTTCTCAAGGCTGTTGGAAAGAACCGTGCACTGAAAATAGATGTTTGCAAAGTAAGAGAGGGAACTCCTTTTATTGGGCAGATGCTCAAGGATAGACATCCTGCAAAATGTTTTCAGATATTTATCCACGCAGCAGCGCTGTGAGGGGGGTACTAGGGTCTCTCTTCCGGATGGAGAAACGGAGGGTCAGGGTTACAGCTAGTACGCAGCTGAGCCCGAGTCTCTGAGCAGGTGGGTGGATTGCAGGATCTGCGTCCTTCCATTGAGCTGTGCTGGCTGAGTCTCATCGTAGGTGGCACAGCTTGGTTGGGGGTGTATGACGTGAACACATGCGATGTTAGAAAACAATACAAGACCAAGGACACAGGAATGCAGCCTGTGGTTAATCGGCAAGTGAGAGTTAGCATTTGTGAATTTGTCGTGAACCAGAGCAACCTGGGAAGGCCTGGCCTCTCTGTAGGACTTAGGTAGGTCCACATGAATTGTAGGGAGGCTGAAAGATGTGAATCTTGTAGGCGATAAGCCCAAGGTATCCTCATCACATTGCTAGTAGATTCATTTGACGATGGAAAGTTTTGATGGAGGCTTGAGGGTAGGTTTCAGTGGGCTGTGAATTTCAGACTGTTGTACATTTTAATGCAGGTCAGTTTCTTTCTGCCCTTCCCTCATTTCCTCCTCCCCCAATCCTCTCCCACCACCTTGGGTGGGGGGTCTCAACACTTACTGTCAGGGGTTATGAAGTTCTACGTGAAACTTTAGTTTTTATTTTCTAAACTGTAATGATAATTGGAAATTATTATGAGCATATGTGGAAAATCAGCCCTCTCACTGTATACTGCAAGTAGAGGATAAACAATGTTACCTCAGTTGAATGCATAAGGATCTCGCATTTGTTTGCATAGAGGAAATTGTGGCCATTTGAGTCTGTGCACAGCATCCAGTAGGATGGACAGGCCAGACTTCTACAGAGTGAGTGTCCTACCTGTGCGAGCGGATTTTGTTATGGAACTAATCAACTTGAAACCCTTCAGTATTGGACAGCGCAGCCGTTAACACCCAGGAAAGAAAGAATCTGCTTCTGAGACAGATGCTGTCGGTGCCTTGCCCATACCTGGCTGGCAGTCACTGTTCTGGCCTGTGCCCAGGTGTCCAGCTACAAACACTTCTGAGTCTTTGCCTAATGGCTTTCTCTTGGCAGGCCAGATGTGCAGAGATAATTTTGGGAGCAGCCGTCCACCAATGACAAACGGGAATTGGAGGATAAATATCCTAGTTGCCTCACTTCTCGGTGGGCCAGTTCTGAGGTTTCCATGGCAATGAGCTCCACACCTGTCTATCACGGCATGGTGTGTTGACCTTTCCTTCTCTATATCATGTACCCATATTGCTCACCAGTGACTAACTAAGATCAGTTTTGAAATAAACCCCTGTATCTGAATCTTTGTCTCAGATTTGCTTCTAGGAAGCCAAGCCTGATCCTGATTGCAAAGCATGTGGAATAAATATTCATTTGATGAAGATTCCTGGAACAGCACGGTGCTAACCTTATCTTTGGGCTTTCCTGGTGGCTCAGCCATAAAGAATCCGCCTGCAATGCAGGGTTCAATCTCTGGGTCAGGAAGATCCCCTGGAGAAGGAAATGGTAACCCACTCCAGTATTCTTGCCTAGGAAATCCCGTGGACAGATGAGCCTGGCAGGATATAGTCAGTGTGGTCGCAGAGAGTTGGACATGACTTAGTGACTAAACAATAGCAGCAAACCTTATCTTTAAGGGAACAAAATAGTTCTGCAGAGTTATCAATATATGCCTGAATGCAATGGGCATGCAAGGGTTATTCTTGGGCAGATTTTGGTTCTGATGATCCTGAATTAGAAATAAAAAATTTCAGTGATTAATACAATTCTGGACAGTTTTCTTGTGAGAATCACTATTCGTTACATTAAGCATTATTCCTTACATTAGTGTTATTCAAACTGTAATATAGAAACAGATTAAGTATACAAACAAACCTGAGACTACATCCTTCTGCTATTAAACCAAATATCAGTGATTTTTGTTCCAGCAAAGTACCATCATCTGTCACATTAAATTAATGTTGGGAATTTAAATTTTATTGGTTTTGTAGTTATGTTTGAATATAATTTGAAAATTTATTCTGGATTTATAGTTATATCAAAGCTGTCACTATAAGGAGTTTATAACTAGTTTTATGTTTATACATATTGAAAGTTAAATCATAATGAATTTCAAAAATTACCTCCAAGGTCCATGAGAATATCTATATTTTCCTTTATAAAGGAGATGACTTGAGCCTAAGTTAAAACTCTCGAGGTGATTGGGAGCCCTCAGAAGATTTTGATAATAAGGTGACCTTGTGAAAACGATGTTTCAAGACAAATTAACGGAAGATGAATTTAAGTAGACATCAGCAGTGCCTAGATTATAGTAGAGGCACAATACTATTTTATGAATAAATGGATTAAAGTAGAAATCTATTGCAGCAAACTAGACAGTATAAATACATATGTAAAATCTTGTGGTTTAGTTGCCAAGTCGTGTCTGACTCTTTGCGACCTCATGGGCTGTAAACTGACGGGTTCCTCTGTCCATAGGATTTCCCAAGCAAGAATACTGGAGATGGATTCTATTTCCTTCTCCAGGGGATCTTCCCAACCCAGGGAATTGAATTTGCGTCTCCTGCACTGGCAGGCGGATCCCTTACCACTAAGCCACCAGGGAAGTCCATATACAACCTGTTGTTATTGTTCAGTTGCTAAGTCATGTCTGATTCTTTGTGACCTGGTGGACTGCAGCATGCCAGGCTTTCCTGTCCTTCACTAACTCCTGCAGTTTGCCCAAATTTATGTCCACTGAGTTGGTGATGCTATCTCACCCACTCATCCTCTGTCGCCCTCTTCTTTTGCCTTCAATGTAGAACCTAGGCTGCTGCAGTGAGAACATGGAGAGTTAAAAGAACTTCATGACTTTGGAAAAATGTTTTATTGGAGTGTAGTCGGTTTACAGTGTTGCCTGCATTTCAGGGGGACAGCCACGTGAGTCGGCCGTTCATGCTGCTGACTCTGTGTACAGAATGTACATTAGCTCCAGGTCTGCTAGAGCAGAGCCCCACGGCAAGAGGTCATGGGCAAGTGACTTATTAGGGTTGTGCTCCCAGATGACACCAGTGAAGGAGAGATTGCAGACAAAGTCCCCGGGGTGGAACCCCCCAGAGTGAAGCTGAGGTCTGACCGCACAGGGGAACCACGGAGCGTAGCTCAGACCCCCACGCCGGTCGCAGTCTGAGTCAAGGGAGCCGGGCTCTCACGCCCCGACAGCAGCCGGTCATCGCCGAGGGGCTGCTACCTTCCAGCGCACCCCGCTTTCTGCGGCCAGACGGCGGTCTTCCAAGAGGGTGGAGGGGACAGCCTAGCAGCTGCAGCGCCCAGGCTGGGGGACGACGCGCAGAGAGGGTCAGAGGGTGTCTGTGTGCAGGGCCGCAGTCCGTCACCACGAGTGAGGCATCACAGTGAGCGTGCCGACCTGTGAGGTGACAGTGGACATCGCACGAAAAGGGGGACGGGGGGCTTCCCTGGTGGTCCAGTGGCTCAGAATCTGCCTTGCAACGAAGGGGACTCTGATCCAACCCGGGTCAGGGAACTAAGGCCCCACAGCCACGGGGCAGTGAAGCCCGTGCACAACTGCTGAGCCTGTGCAGCCCACCCAGAGAGCCTGTGCAGCGCAGGGAGGCCCCGCGGGGCCAAGTGGAGGTACTGTGCGCCGCGACGAGGACCCAGGGCAGCCAGGTCAGTGAGCAAGCAGACAAACATTCAAAACAGTACGAGGAAAGGACTCTGGGAGGGGTCCTGGGAAAGAGACGATGAGCCATGATCACTGGGCGTCCGGGGAGAACGGACACTCAGAACCCCAGCCCCCTCGCCCCCTGCTCTGCTCCAAGCATCTCCACTTCTCAGCCGGGTCGCAGCCTCGCCAAGCCACTCTCCTTTGCCCAGACAGGCACGTGTGCGCTTACGCCTCTGCGCCACTTTGTTCCCTGGCTGAGAGGCGCCCTTCTCGCCCTTCACCGTCCTTCGGCGCCCATTTCACCTGTTACCCGTTCTGTGCAGCCCCCGCCAGCGTTAGTCAGTGCCGCCTCTGTCTCCCCACAGTCCTCGGGGCTCACGGCTGGCAGAGCGCGCAGGGGTCCACACTGCTTGCCTATTCACGTCTGTCTCTTTGGACAAGTGGAAACTGCATCTTATTCTACTTGTGTCTGCTGTGCCTACCAGGGGTCAGGACACTGCTTTCACCTGTGTTCTTCAGACCTCATTAGCTGTGACCCACAGGAAGAAACGCATTTTATACCATGACCTACTCTATATGTCCGTCCGTAACACATATACACACAGAGTTGAAACAAAAGTTTCATGGAACAAAATTTACCATGACGGAATGCCACACACTCTGATATTTTGTATTCTCTTCTATTCATTATTCATATGTTCTGGCCAAAGCCCACCAAGCCAGTTAACTTACTAATGACTCATGACTCTCAGTTTGCAAAACTCTGCTTAGCATAAGCTCAAGAACTGTTTGTTGATATGAATTGCAAAACATTGGCTTATTTTGAAGCAACTTCAGATATCATGTAATTTGATCCATAAATACCTTGGTATGCATTTCTTAAGCATAAAACTCATTAGCTCTTCATACCTAAAAGTACAGTATTTGTACCTAAAATGTATGGTAATTTCTTGGTATCAAGTATCCAGACAGAGTTCAATTCTCCCAATTGTCTCATAGTTTTTAAGAAATTCTGGGACATCCCTGGTGGCTAGGACTCTGTGCTGTGAATGCAGGGGCCCAGGTTTGATCCCTGGCCAGGGAACTAGATTCCACATGCCGCAGATAAAGATTCCCCATGCTGCAACCAAGACCCAGTGCAGCCAAATACATACCTGTTAAAAAAGAAATTGTATCTGATTCCTGTCTTTCTTACATTTCTTTTTATCTATTAGTCATTCCTCTCTTTTTCACCCTCATCACAACACTTTAGGTCTTTTATAATATGGGTTTCCTGCATTATTTGAGTATATTTAAATCTACTAGACAAGACAAGAAAGCAAATGGGTTGGATGAAACTCATAAGAAATTGTAAGCATTGATGGTAAGTAAGCTAGTGGCTTATGAAATGTCGGTGATACTCTCAGGCTGTGTTAAGAATGTAAGGAAGAGCTTGTGGAACAAAGGTGGAATTCAGGAGATATGCTAAATAACAGAGTAAACTGGTAATCATGAGAATGATACAGAAGAGCTGGAATGTTTGATGGAACAAGCAAGAGCTTTACTTGTAGCCAGAAATGGATGGAGAGACCAAGTCAGAGTGAGAGACCATGACATCTCTGGGCTGACAGCTGTGTCCTCCTTAAATCAGCCCCCCCTGGAGGCCCCCGGATGCTCCTGCTCTGTACGCCAGCCTGGAAGTGCAGATAAAGCCCATAGTGACTCAGCAGGCTGTTGACTAGAGACGCTGTGGACAGGTGTATTTGCCAGGATAGAGCAAGTATGTGTCATTGGTCCCAAGCATCTTCCATTTGTGGTCGCCTTGCTCAGAGCTCAGTTCTGGTCCTTGTAACCTCACTAGGGCGTTTGCAGAGGTTGATGCAGGAAGGAGATAAAGGATGCATCAATGAGTGATTTCTGATCTCTGACTAAAAGGGGTGTGGTCTTTCTGCATGCTTGCATTTTTGTCCTAAGTGTTACATCCCATTTATTTCCCTTTGCTTCTGTTTCTAAAAACCTAAATTTTTTAAAAAGACTTTCTTTTTCAAAGAAGTTTTAGTTTTGTAGCAAAATTGGGAGAAGTCATGGTGATTTCTCGTGTATTCCTTGTCATCATGCGTGAGGAGCGTCCCCTATCATCAATATCACCCACCAGAGTGGTGCATTCATTACGACTGATGAGCCTGCCTTGACGCATAATTTTCACCCAGAGTCCATAGTTTATATTAGGGTTCACTCTTGGTGATGTACATTCTGTGGGCCTGGACAGACATCTGATGGTGTGTATCCTTTGTTATGTTACGTATCAGTATGGTTTGGTAGGTTTTAGTTGCTAAGTCTGTCCGATTCTTGCAACCCCAGGAACTGTAGCCCACCAGGCTCCTCTGTCCATGGGACTCCTCGGGCAAGAACACTAGAGTGGGTGCCATCCCCTCCTCCGGGGGATCCTCCCGATTCAGGGACTGTAGCCCACCAGGCTCCTCCGTCCATGGGACTCTCCGGGCAAGAAGACTGGAGTGGTTGCCACCTCCTCCTCCGGGGGATCCTCCCGACTCAGAGACTGTAGCCCACCAGGCTCCTCTGTCCATGGGATTCTCCAGGCAAGAGCACTGGAGTGGGTGCCATCCCCTCCTCCAGGGGATCTTCTCTGTCCATGGGACTCTCCGGGCAAGAGCACTGGAGTGGGTGCCGTCTCCTCCTCCGGGGGATCCTCCCGACTCGGGGACTGTAGCCCACCAGGCTCCTCTGTCCATGGGATTCTCCAGGCAAGAGCACTGGAGTGGGTGCCATCCCCTCCTCCGGGGGATCTTCTCTGTCCATGGGACTCTCCGGGCAAGAGCACTGGAGTGGGTGCCGTCTCCTCCTCCGGGGGATCCTCCCGACTCGGGGACTGTAGCCCACTAGGCTCCTCTGTCCATGGGATTCTCCAGGCAAGAGCACTGGAGTGGGTGCCATCCCCTCCTCCAGGGGATCTTCTCTGTCCATGGGACTCTCCGGGCAAGAGCACTGGAGTGGGTGCCGTCTCCTCCTCCGGGGGATCCTCCCGACTCGGGGACTGTAGCCCACCAGGCTCCTCTGTCCATGGGATTCTCCAGGCAAGAGCACTGGAGTGGGTGCCATCCCCTCCTCCAGGGGATCTTCTCTGTCCATGGGACTCTCCGGGCAAGAGCACTGGAGTGGGTGCCATCCCCTCCTCCGGGGGGTCCTCCTGACTCAGGGGTGGAACCTGCATCTCCCGTGTCTCCTGTCCTGGCAGGCGGGTTTTTTACTGACTGAGCCACAGGGAAGTCTATATACAGCAGTGTATCAATTTATATATTTTCATATATAAGAATCCTCCGTGCTCCATCTATTCATCCTTCTTCACTGCCACCCTCACTTGTGGATATGTGTTTTCAACTGATCTATTAAACTGTGATCCCAGCATCTTAATTTGCTCTGTGAACCTTTCTGTTCTGTGATGACTGGGTTAGCTCGTCTGATAATGTGCTTGGAGATTACCATGGCATTCAGGCAGTTTCCTACACATCTTTAATGCAAGCTGATTTTAAGATGCTGATTGTAATTCCTTTTTAACACATCTAATGTGGATCCTGGTGGTTGCTGATCTAGTTTCTTCATTATCCGCATCTCCACTTCTCTTCCGTAGAATCCTGGTTTTCTTCGGATATCCGCACCTTCCCCACTCAACCAGTTGCCTTGGGGAGGCCAACCCCATTCCAGTTCCTCAGTAAACCTGACTGGTGCAAGGTTTTCCATTCAAATCCGCCTGCCAGCAGGTGACTCAGGAATGCTCACTTGATGTAATTCTGGACAATGAACTCTGGGAAGTCTGCTGTGTTGTGGGTGGGGGAAGTTTCCGGAAAACGGCTCCCCAGTCCTATGGTAAGACACGCTTCACAGGATAGGAATCTTCTCTTACACCTCTACATATTAAGCCAGGAAGTGACACACGGAATCACTGGATGCATCTTGTTGACAGCCCCACGCGTGTGCTGAGAAGCGAGAAGTGGACAGATTCTCCTCTGTTATCAGAGACATCACTGCACAGACTGGAGCCTCCCTGGACCCAACCCCACCTCTTCTCTCCTGTTGTTAAGTCTTCTTCATTCTTGGAACCACCTTGGGTCCAGGTTTTTATTTCTTGCACGTGAGAGCACATTTAACCAAAATACCTCCCCAAAGCTATGGTTTAAATGACTTAAGCTGGCCATTTCTTAATATATGATTATAGCCTGTCTGTACCAGATCTGAGAGTTTATTTTTTAAGTTAACTAGTTGAGTTTTAATTGGAGGATGATGGCTTAACGATGCTGTTAGTTTCTGCTGCACCACAGCGTGAACCAGCTGTGAATATGTGTGTGTCCCTTTCCTCGTGAACCTCCCTTCCCCACACACAGCCCCATCCCACCCCCGGGTCAGCATGGAGAACCGCGCTGCACTCCCTGGGCCAGACGGCATCTTCCCGCCAGCTGTCCACTTTACACATGGTCGTGTATCTGTGTCAATCATACTCTCTCAATTCGTCCCACCCTCTTCTTCATAGAAGTTTATTAAAACACGTATTCTGGGGGCCACTGTAAACATACTAATTTGGAATTTTAGGGAGGCACTGGCACTCTTATACACATGAAGGCATCAGACATTATAGCATAAACTTGATGAGCATGTTAAAAAATTTATCTGAAACCTGCAGATAAAGCTAAGGATGACTCCATGTCCTCGCACCGTGACTGATCAGACTCATCCAGGAGTTAATT